GGGGGGCAGGGACGGGGACACAAGTCACACCGAGGCCGATGACTATCTCATCCGTGGTTTCAATCTGTGTCCATCCCTCTCGAGTGCTATCCGTGAACATTCAGTTAAAGGAGTCTTGCAAAATACTCTCGCTTTTATTATCGACAGGGTATTTTTTCCTTTTCTTTTCCCTTTTTTTTTTTTTGTGTGTGTGTTTGTTTTTGTTTTGTTTTGTTTTCCACGGCTAACGCTCTTGCGCTTTCCTGACCGCCTCGTTAGCTGTTCTCGCTCCACTCTGGCACCATGCCCACGCCGTGGACCGAGTGGTACTGGTGGGGAGAGAGGGTTCGAGGCACGCCGTGGGAATACAGGAACTCCGCGGGCTGTAAGCTGCTGGGAGGGGACTGGATGCCGGTTTGAGGTCCACACTGCCGGACGATGGGTTGGTGAGAAACCGAGGTTTGGTGCTGAAACATGCTATGGGTATCGCCTATCTGGGGGGAGGTATGGTTGGCCACGCCGCTGAGCCGCGGCATCAGCGGCCCCGAGGTGAAGTGGGCAGAGAAATGCTGGTAGGGTAACCTGTCCATGGGCTGCATGGCAGACACGGTGCAACTGCTGTAGGATGGCACGCTCGGCCACGTGTTACAGCTGATGTCTTCCAGGCTGGGCACGGGGTCCGTGGGGGGAGCCGAGCTGGCGTACATACATGCTTGGCGCTGGGCTGACTCAGTCCTGTACGAAGTGTTCAGTCCCTGCTGCTGGGGGTAACCGGACCTGTAGAAAGGATCCTCTTCTGCCGGAGAAGTTTCCATGTAGGGCTTCTTGTAGGGATGCTCGGTGGTGGAACATTCCTCATCTGTTGGGAGAGAAAACGCCGGGTAGCGAACAACACCACTGAACCCCCCGCTCCGCGGTCCTCGTTTTACCAAGGACGCGGGCTGCACGGAGCTGATCCAGACGCTCCTCTCGGTTGCGCCAGCGTAAATCCGGATCCCTTCCTTGGGATCGATCTGAATCGATCCTGCTGCAACCGAGTCTCGCCCTTGGCCCCGTCTGCTGGGCTGGGGAAGGGATTAGCTAGGAGCTCTGGGAGGAAAAATCAAGGCTGTAGGATGCTGGAGGGACCCTGAGGCTTAGCTCGCTCGGCGATACCCCACGCGCACCCCCAGACCACTAAGCTCCTTGTCTCCTTTCTGCTGCCAGTGCTTTGACCAGAGGACTAACGTCTGCCTGCGGGTGAGCGCACCTAACAGACGTCCCCGCTCAGAGCCGATGCTGTTAACAAAAAGCCTTTACAATTATATACTGTCACGATAAAGGAGACAAAAATGGAGATCCCAATAAAAATCTCCCCGGGAGAGCATCAGCGATGGCACAGTTGAGACGATCAGATTTGGAGTTTTACAGCCCCGGTCTTTAGCTGTGCCAAGGGAGCTGGGCACATAAATCCACGCAGGGCTGGGTGCTGGAGCCAAGCGTAACAAAAAAAGAAAAGTAAATTTCACAGCTAGAAACAACAAGGCGCATCTCGCCGAGCCCTTTGTTTCCTGCAGCATCCCGGGCCAACGGAGCGAAGGAGATAAACAATTTAGGTGAAATCTCTAGGGTGAGGCAAAATGAAGAAATGAATACGCGCTTATTTATTCAGTCGCAGGGTCATCAAATGAAATCCAGCTCTGCTGGAATGGATGGCAAAGTTCCCAGGGACGAGCACTTCACCAAGAGATTTTAAGGACAGGGAAGGGGAGCTTGTTCTGACCCAGATTAACTTTGCTGCTGCTTAAAGAACGAGATTCCTGGTGCAGGCAGAAAAACATCCCACTTCTCTCACAGCCCTCTTGGCTGCACCTTTTCAACAGAGGTAAAACTTAGAAGAATACTGGAAAAAAATTGACCTTTTTTAAGTTTTCTCAACCAACGTGTTTTGAGCTGCAGGTTTTTTTCACCCCCAAAATACAAAGGAGAAAAAAAAAAAAACCAAACCACCAGTTCCACCAAAAAAAAAAAAAGAGGACTACAAGAATCTCTCCCCCAGGAAGCGCTTGCAAGAAAAATGCAGGTGTTACTGCTGGGCTGCCCCAAGGCCGGCACCCGTGTCTCGCTTTCAGGAGGTGCAGGTGGGCAGCGCGGGCGCCTTTTCTTTCTTGTGAAGACGCACATGCGCGCACCCTCGTTACTGTAGACCCAGCCACGTGCTTCCTCCGGGAAGCTGCACCCACCCCGCTTGTAAAATAACCCACTACTCCCGCTCAGGGGCCTACCAGCTCCAGCAAGTCGGGCTGGAACAACCGCTGCTGTTAGTCCTCCTGGACCGACAACCCCAGAAAACATCCGGGCCGGCGGTACACACCGTGGGGACCGTCCCCTTGGTGTCCTCCGACTCGGTAATAGCAGCTGCCCCCAAATTCAGCCGGCGAGCCGCAGCCCCATTCCCTGCTTTTTTCCCCCGACAGCAGCAAAACTTGGCTCCTCATCCCAGCAACGCAGAGCCCTGATAATCAGGTTACCGTGTCTTAAATGAGGATGGAAAGTAGGATGGGATAAGCCAGAAACTCTTTAAAACAGTACACAGACAGATGCAAAAGTCTCTCCTTAGTCCCGATCGGGTTCGTTCTGCACAGGGGTGGTGGGGAGGATGTCGTTCCCGGAGAGACAAAAGCTGGAAGCGCAGGTCTGAGCTCCCTCCGGCGCACGGGGCCATCCCAGGAGGCACATCTGGACGAGCAGCCTGAGCTCTAGCTTTTACAGACAGCCTAAAAGTTTCGGATCCCTAACCCACCACTGAGTAATAAGGATACTAGGGTGGAAAAAACAATGTCTTGTAAAACGAAGCATTGTTCTGCTAATAAAGTTTTCAGCATTAAACCGCATTACTCTGCTGGCATTAGAAATCATTGGCTTGGGGTTTGACTGTTTATTTTATTTTTATTTTTTTAAACATACAACACAAAACAGTCAAACTCTGTTTTTCCGTTGTGTAAAAATGTGCCTGACTTACAACCTGAGGTTGCTGATTTTTCCATTTAGCCCAGACGTTTCGCTGCCTGCCACAGCCCAGGCAGAGCCGCAGTGACGGATCCACTTCCAGAACCCGTCACAGGTGAAGAGAGAAAAAACAAAAACAACCAGCATTTCAGTGGAAACCCCGTAAGTGCCGTCTCTTCTCCTGCAAGCTCCCGCGATCGCTCTGCTGGCCGAGGCTCGCTGGTGTCGTATGTGGAAAGGGCACCGTCACCCCAGATTTTAAAGGTGTGCAAGGACACCGCACCCGTCTCCAAAGAGGACGTGGTCGCTAACGAAGGATTACAGCCTACCCTAACAGCTTCTGCCTGCCCTCCGGTTTTTTTTCCCCGTCTATGTAACCGCCCTGGAGAGGGAAGAACGGTCCGTCTTCATCGTCGGATGGGGTGGAGCAGTCCAGAAGTCCTCAGCTGGTGCCAGCTGATGAATTTACACTGGTGCAGGCTCTCTAGTCTGGGCTGGCAGCGTCCCACCACTCCTCGCAGGGGAGACCAGAGCCAGCACGGCGCGTCCCCGTGGTGTGCAGAGCAGGTCCGCGGGTGGGAAAGGGACATCTTCAAGTAAGAGAGCGGCGAAAGGAGGACAAGTCAAACAGAGATCTCACACGATGCTGAAGGCTGTGGTTTAAAGTTATCCCCACGTGCTCTGGAGCCTGGGCAGCGTGTTCCAAGGCCGTAATCCTCTTCCTCAAGGTCCTCTCACCTCCTCAGCACCAGTGTAAGCAGGACACGGGAGATGACTGGTCTGCTCCGGGTTTGATTCTTGATGTTGGCTCCCTGATAGCACTTCACTGTCCTTTTCCTGTTGTCACCGAGCCCTGGGAGATGCTGACCATCCTCCACGTTCGTTGCTATTCTTGGAAGCCAAGCGTGGTGATCAGCTCTTGTGACCAGCCCCTCGGTACTGCACAAACCTCAAAAAGCAAAAGGTTCTGCCAAGCAGGGGAAGCTGCCAGTGCTTGGGAGAAGCTGCTCCAAAGTGGATCCAAGGAAAACGGAGCCTGCAGAATGGGGTGGAAACTGGCTCCCTCACAAGGAATTTGATGATCTATCTAATGAAGGAGCTTGAGTGAGAGCATAAGCAGTTCCAAGATTTCCGGTATTTACTACTTCCAGCTGGGCTGTAAATACCACACAAATGGCTTTTTAAATGGAATTTTCCCAATTCCAAGATTAGGGCCGACCAGAATGAAACGCAAACATGTAAAATCTCTGGACTTTAGGGTGCACTGGGCCCACCTCTTCCCTTGGTGTAAATCAAGAGAGCTCCTTTCCGATTCATGACAATCGGCTCCCCAGGACAGAAGACAATGAAGAATGGGACCCAACTGTTTTAGTTTTTAAAGCTCACCCACACTTCCTGGGCATTACAGTAGGTTCATCCCGACTTTGTGCGGGAGACACAATGGGTGATTATCACTAACACTGTTGTTTTATCCAGTCTGGCTCCCAGTATGAATCTAGCGTGAGCCTGAATACCCAATCGCAGTGTGCAAAACTGACAAGAGTTTTCAAAGAAGAAAAGAAAAAGGCAAATTCAACCAAAATGAGCATCCCTAAGGGGCAAAGCAGGCGTCCATCCTAGGATGTGGAACCCAAGGCATGCTAGTCATTTCAGCAATTGCACGGTTTGCAATACGGTTGTGTTTCATTGCAGGGGAACATGACAGAAAGGGTTGTGGGGCAGAGACAATCCAACACCAAAAGCTGGAACCTCTTCCGGAGGCAGCGAGTTGCCAGCACTGCCTGCAGAGGCGCAGGAGGCATCTCCCGATGGGAGAAAGGGATGCTTAGACGAAGCCGCTGAGACTACAGTGCCACAAGCAATGTGGCTGCACAGCAAAAGCTGGGTGCACACCAGCCCCCTGAACATCTCCCCACCACACAGGCAGGTTCCTCTTCACCCTCGGTGCCCCAGCAGCCACCTTGCTCCGGGCTCCACTGCATCTACAAAACCCACTGCATCTACTCCGCTGCATCCAAGATGGGAACACCTCTGGCTGCAGCATAGCTCAAGCCTTGGCCAACTCATTGCGTCTCCTAACATCAGCAGGACGAGCAGCATGTCCTCCAAGACAACATCCCATACCTGACTTGTCCTACAGATTCTTTGAGTGAAATAAAATCTGGGTGGGAGGAGGGAGAAATCAGTTCAGTCAACAAAGAGGTCTGTTCACCCTAACCATGCCTGTTCTTGAGGAGAAGGGTGAAAGGCAGTGCTGTATCTCCACCAACCTCAGAGCAAGAAGGAGGTGAAAGATATACTCTTCCCCACAGTCAGGGTCATGTCCAAGCTAGGTGCCTGAAGGATACGGTCCTCGCTGGTTGGAGCTGGTGGATTCTGCCACATTCCTCTTCTCCCTCAGAGTGCCAACATGACAACTTTTATAACCTCCCCAGGGAGAGGCTGTTCCAGTCGCCTCCTGTTCAGCATCACAAGCATCCCAGAAATCTGCCAAGTGGTTGAGATTGTGTAAGGCTGGGAGGGAGCAGAGGTTTAGAGAGATGGCTTTTTAGTTCACAGGAAGTCTGAGGGAGAGGATAACACAAGGGAAAACATGCCCCAATGCCCTAATTGGGACGTGGGGCTAAAATGAAAGACAGAAAGCAAGCTGCCTGCTGGTAAGTCCTTTTGGGCTTCTCCAAGCACAACAATGAGAGGGAGAGGTGGAGAACAACTAGAAAAAAGGCAAAGCTCTAACAAGTCTTTGTTGCAGCCTAAAAATCCGCGTCAAGAACTGAGGCCACTCCTTGGTAGGATAGAGGATTGGAGTTAATCCCTCTTCTCAAGGGCAGCGATTTTGTGAAATACCATAAGCAATCTCGGTGTGGAGCTGGGATACAACAGAGGACGATTCTCGCCTTGAGGACTGCCGTTCCCCAGCGCTCAGCGTGTTCAGAAGGTGACTGGAGCAGTGACCTCATTGCACCATGCGGGGGTCATTCCCAGTGCTGCAGCCCCGCACTCCCACCTGCACACCAGAAATTGCCAGACTTGGAGCTCTGGGATGTGTCCTTCCTTCCTTCCTCACCCAGAAGAGCATCACCTCCCTGAAACAGAGGAGCCTTCAGAGATAACATCCCCTCACAGCCCTGCTGCTCTCCCCTAATGTAACTCCATATCAGATCTCCAGAGTGAATCCATCTTGACTTGACAGCTAAGAACAACACTGTCAGCCGCAGAGCTAAATCTTTGTCTTGGGTCACCAAGGAAGTAGAAGTTGAATAAGGTGCCTTTGAGTTGCTCGAATACAGACCTATTCTTAACTGAGCCTAAACCAAGACCTGACCTCCTGATTAAAAAGGATACAGAGAACCATCATGAGATGTCAAAGCTGGAAGGAGGCTGTCTTGGAAAACAGTGGTGGCATTTGCTACAGAAGATACAGACACCAGCTGGTCTCAAACCCAGTTGAATTGCCCTCTGCCCCTGCAAGCACTTATCCGTAACCACAGCCCTGCGAAAAGGAAATAATCGCTAGAGATAAACCTTAAACTGACTGTAAAGGAGTCTATGTTTGGGGAGTTGATGATCCAACGAAATCAATAAAAAACTTCCAGCCCAGAAAACGGACAGAGGTGCATTAGGAGTGAACGCGCTCTTGCTTTCGCGCTTTCTTAGATGGCGAGGCTTGTTAAAAGTTATGCAGAAAAGTAGGAAAGCAGGAGAGCCATGAGGGAAAGCTTAGTATTCCACTTAGAAAGGAGAGGCTGGAAAAGGAAGAAAGAGAGGAACATTATAGGTAAGGTTATTTTACCCAAGTTCAATAAAGTCCTTGCACGGTGCTAGAAGAAAGTGCCCCGCTCAGTCTGAGTTTGAGATGAAACCTTGGATCACGTTCTGATTTATCTGAACAGAATTGCTCATCTCTAGTGACTTTTTTTTTTTTTTAATTAATTTCACTTTGCAAAGAGCTGCTTGGCAGCTTATGTTGGCTCTCTGTTTCCCATTAACTTTGTGTTTCTTTTCTTTAAGCCCTGGTGGCTGTTTTCGATTTACTAGATGCGTGGGGAGGGGGAAAAAGGCACAGGGAGGAAAGCAGAGACTCAGGCTCCCGAGACGTACAGCTTCGCGGAAGAAGCCGGTGGTATCGGACAGGACGCTGCTTCTCTTTGATTAAAGCATTTGGTGGCTTTGATAAAAAGCCCTTAACTGCTTGTGCCACTCCAGCCATCATAGAGATAATGAGGGGCCACCAGTGGCCCGGACAAGGACTCGGCTTTGCCAGTCTCCTGCACTTTCGCAAGGGCCACGCAGGCCAAAAGGGGCCGGGGAGCTTATTACAGGGCAGATAGTCGTCTCTTTTGTGACAATAAGAGGAAGTGAGATAATTGGGGGATTGAGGGAAACCACCCATGGAGACACCACTTAGCGGGAATCCCAAAACTGGAAGGAAACCTCTGTTGATTCCTTATCACGTTACAATGTGGAGGCGAATGATGAATTGCCCTGTGGTGCGGGGACACGCAGCCGTCGGAGATTGTCCGGAGGGTTTGTTGCCATTTGGGCCAGCTTGTTTTGGTTAGTTTTTGCGAAGGGGAAGAGGAGCGGTGACAGCTCAGCTCCCGGGGCAAAGGAGCACCGAGGATGGATCGCAGGCTGAGGGACGCCAAGGGCGAATGGGACCTGCCTTTCCACCACCGACGGCGGGGCTTTGCCGCAACTCGGCTGCGTCCCGAAGCCTCGCACCCACGGTTCCGCACCAACACGGGGGTAGCAAGGTCCACACCCCCCACTTCCGACCTCAGGGGACACTCTGGGAGTCAGCGGCCACTTCCAACCATCAGCACTTCCAACCACAGCCTCCGTACACTCTACCTGAGCACGAGGGTTGCCTGGTCAGCTGGAGGGCTCAGAAAATGATGCCTCCGTTTTCCGCGGTTTGGCTCAATCTCACGTCGGGAAAATATTAAGATTTGTCAACGTTTTTGTTCTGCATATACTCGTACATCACACACGCGCTCTTACAACGTTCAGGGGCTTCACCAAGGATGCGAGAAATATTTCCACCGCCCTCCTGCCTCATCTCCCAGCACTTCCCAGCATCCGCTACCTCAGACTGTGTGTCTACGCCGCACATCCCAGCACCCCAGGGGTTACGTTACTAAAAATAATGACATGTGGCTGACTGATAGGACCGCGCAGGGAAACAGGAAGGGATCTGCTGTGGGGACAGGCTAGCGGGCCGGAGAAATTCATGGTGCGTTCCAATGCCACGGTGCATACTGACTCCTGTTAGCTTTTCCCGTGCAATGTAGACTAAAATCCGGAGAAAGGGGAACAGGGGTAAGCAGTAACCATCTCCTGCCCACCCCAGGGGGGTGCATTCAGCCGTGGGAATTCCCTGTTTTCTTCTGAGCGTGTGGGGTAGAGCTGATCTGAGGCTTTTACTATCCGAGTCCTGCAAG